TATTTTATTACTATTTGTAAATATCCAAGAAAATTGATCTTCTGAATAGATATTTTATTGAATGATTATCTGCACATTTCATAACGCTTTTGTACTTATTTAAGTGAAATGTAATTATATTTTTGTGAAAAATTATATTAGATAAAATCAGATACTCTGCTTTGGTCAGTTTTATGGTATTACTAACTTTTAATTTTTATTTTTTTTGTCAATATTTCATCTTTACATAAGCTGCTTTTATTATACTTTATTACATATAAAATCAAAAATCTTCTTTTTGAGAATGTTTTAATAACAATGATGAGGATTCTTAAAGGTAAACTAATTTATTTAATTTTAGATATGTTTCAATGATGTTTGATGTCTATATTCATATATATGTCTATATTCATATATATATATATATATATATATATATATTATATATATATATATATATATATATATATATATATATATATATATACACACTTACTAAAGCATGTTTTGATATAAGCATTTGCTATACCGTTATGCATTAAGCTATACCGTTTTTTTCGAAAAAGAAAAAGAAAAAACGAAGAATGATGAATAAAATGATTGCTTCCCCATTCCAAACCCTCAGTCGATGTAGCAGCACTCCACTGCGAGTCAGGCTTTTTTATCAGTTGATGTATGTACTGAGGCCCTCATCAGTTAAATATTAAAATCTTTCCTTACTTAAAAACTTTATTTTTATTTTTTTTAATTGTTTTAGATTTAGAGTTTACTCAAAATGGAAAAGAAAGAAAAGACTGTATTTTTGTGTATTTGGATTGATTTTGATTTACTTATATTTATATTTGTTATTTAAGCAATATCTATTGCTTAAAGATAAGTTTTTAAGTATATCTATCTTGTAAATGTATATAGGAATATTTAATATAATTATATTATTATGTGCTTGTGTATACTTTATCAAAATTGTTAATAAGTTTTTAGAAAGTGTTTATTACTTTACTAATTTTTATTTATTTGTGTAATTGCTGTTGAAGTGAAATCTAAATCACGTAAATTTTAAAATTTTTTATGTAAATCAAAGAAAATTTGTTTTCAGAAAATATTTTCAAAAACATGCCATTGATTTTATATATATAAGATTTGCTAGAAATAATTTATTTAAATTTTACTTTTATTTACGGAAACAATCCGATAGCTGCTGATGACCAAACTACCCGTTGTTTAAGGGAAAAAACCCATTGTATTTTAACGGAAACATCCGTTTACATGCGATGGATTTTTCCGTAATATAACGGGTAGTTTGGTCATCGACAGCTGCCGAAACTTTTCCGTAAAAAACGCGCTATATTTTTAACAGTGTAGTAGCTTGTAATATATGCACAAACGCAAATTGTATAAAATTGAATGCTGATAAGACCGAGTTCTTGTTCACTGGAAAAAAACAAGTTGTAAACTGCACGATTACAATCGACCACCAACAAATAAAACTGGATGATAAACTTAATCATCTAGGTTTTATATGGGATACTAAAAGCTCTTTTTTTGCCTCACTTAATTATCCAAATATTATTAACAGAATATCAAAATACAGGGCAATAATTCAGACTCTTATTTAGTCTGGAATCCACTTTGTTCATCCAAGCACTATCGTCCTGCTATTGGAAACATTGGTGGTTTTGGTACTTGCGTATGGTCTTGCGATTATAAAGACGTACGCAAAAGTTTGATATAATAGGGAGGAATGCACTTAAGTAACTCTTCAATGTTTCCAAACACAGCAAAAATTATATTTGTTCTTTGTTTTACATCCAAGATGTATCAACAATTGTACAGCAAAATAATTTAAACTTATTTATTCGCATATTGAGCAATAAAACAACCTCTGGTATTGTAAATTCGCAGTTTAAAAGCCAAACCCCTAAGCAACCGTTTCTAGATGATATCATCGGAACAAACTCAATCCAAAGAGCTTAATGCAAAACAAAACAAGTAAAAATCATCGTTTTAAAAAATATAATTCCTAAAAAGGATCTTCAAAAGTTAGGCTATGCAATTGAGTTCTGGAACTCATTGGAGCAAAGGAAAATGTTCAAAGATATTCTTGAAATATTCCAAGATAAAAACTTATTTATTTTCAAAAATGTAATTTTATAACAATTTACCTTGCATTATTTACATCGGGAGATTAATAAATAAATTTAAAAAAATTGAAAGGCATGTATGCATGAACTAGTTTATAATAAGTTAATAACACGCGATTAAATGAGAGAATTTCTTTTATTTTAAAATTATCAAAATATAAAAATTCTAAAATGTTTCGTTCAATTCAGCAACATAAAATTAAATTAAGTTCACAAATTTTTTTTAAAACTAACGAACTTTGAACTTAACGTAAAACTTAAGTTTGATTTAAAGTAGGGTTGTTAACCGGAGGATTTCGTGCAATTCCGGAAAAACACCATTATTTCGTAAGGAGATTGAGAACGAGGAATTAAATTTTTTTGTACCGAATATTACAAAATATTTAAAATCGCCGATGTTCATTTCGCCAAAGCTACTTCCGAAATGTAGCATTTCGCAAGTTGACATACGAAACAAAACTATTTTGCAGCATACGAAAGTAGCGGTTTCGGAAGTCGCACTTGCTAAACAAACTTTTTCGCCAAACAACGTTTTGAAGTCTATAAAGAAAATTTGTTTGCCAGACTGATTTTAATTGTAAAAATTACCATCTTTAAATCCCTAAATGTTTATAATGAATTTTTATTTTCAGTATAATAACATTTTAAATTTTTATGTTTTTATTTTTAGAAATACTGATAAAAAACAAAATTTCTTTCGAAACGAAAGTATTTTGCATCACAACATACGAAAGAATTCTTAACGGAAATAAAGATACAAAACGTGCCATGATAAATATATAGAACGATGTTTTTTGAACTCATTACGTATAGTAAAAATTAGAATGATGGGTAGAAATATACGTTTTTTTTTTAAAAAGCATATGAAATTTTTGAAACAGGTTCGAATATATTTAAGCAAACAGTTAAAAAAAGGCTCTAAAATATGCTTAAGCTTAAGCATATTTTTGGTAAAATATACCTATTTTAATAATTTTTAAAAGTGTGCACGTTACTAAAAGTTAATAGGTATAAGAAAAATAAAAAGTTGACTTGTGCTCTGTATTTTTGTGTTGGTTTTAATTTATGTTTTTATAAACTTCGGTTTTTGTTGGTTTAAATTTAGAAATATATATATTTAAAATTTTTAACTAAATAAAAATAATATTTTAAAAATGGTTTATCAAGGCTTAGGAATATGCTTACTTATGCTTATTTTTTTCTAAATCTAAGCCTATAAGCGTTATGCTTATAAAAAAAAAACGAGTATATACAGTAGAATTCCGTTATCTCGGTCGATGGATAAGTAGATTTTGGGGCTATCCATAAATGATATCAGTATATAAAAGGGGGAGGGGGTATTAAAAAGTTTGACAAGAATTGACAATGGGGAGGGGGTGTTGAGACCAACGTGATGTCTATTTAAGAAAAAAAAATTTAAGTTCGAGCAGATTTTAAAGGTATGTAGAGCCCTGTTTAAATACGCTTTTCGAAGTATAGACCTTAGAAAATATTGCTTTTTAATTTTAATAAGATATAAATATAAATATAAGATCGTATAGCTCAATCAGTTAGATACGTGATAATTCGCCGCAGAGATCTAAGTTTGCATCCCGCTGCCATCGCGACTTTTGTTCATCAAACTCTTTTTACTTAAGATAGCATTTTTTGACCTCCATCTTCTATATTACATATTTTTCGTCACCTTCATTATAGTGACAACCTCTCTTCTGTTAGTTAATTTTTTAAGATTGAGTTCACTGTGCTTAATTCTAAATATTAAAAACAAATATTACCATTCACTTACTTAAATGAACGTATAGCTCATTCAGTTAAGACATAACATTTAGCCGCGGAGACCGAGGTTCACATCCCGCTGTATCACATATATTTCTTCTCTTTTTACTCTTTCTTGATATCATTTACCTTTAGAGGGATCTCTCGTTCTTTATAATAATGTATTTATTTGTTTATCACACATCCTCTTTATACTTTCTAAAACAAAGGCATACTATTTATCTGTTCATTGAGAGGTTAACTTAACAGGATTTTACAGTATATATATATATATATATATATATATATATATATATATATATATATATATATATATATATATATATATATATATATATATATATATACATATATATATGTAAACATATATATATGTAAACATATTTATATATATATATATATATATATATATATATATATATATATATATATATATATATATATATATATATATATATATATATATATATATATATATATATATATATGAAGAATCATTATATATATATATATATATTGAAGAATCATTTTACAACATTTTTTTATAATTTTATTATTTATTATTTAAACTGTTAACAGTTAATTTTTTAACAAAATCTTTTGCGTCTTTTTCGTAACTGCACAACCCGGAATGCTCCTTACGTAAGGAACTAATTCGTAAGTATATTTACGAAATAATTTGCTTCGCAATTTTTCTTTTGCAATGCTTTCGCAATGAAATGTGCATTTTCGCATGTGCAACTTCCGCAATAACAATTCTATTACGGTAGATAAAGCTGCGAAATTTTCGCAAGATTTGCTTTTCGGCGAACAACCCTAATTTAAACCACTTTTATAATAGAGACTTTACAAAATAACTGTTCTAATTTTTGAAACAACTAAATAGAGGAATTTCTTTAGCGGAACTATATTAACGTCATTTATTTCAATATTTGAAGCTTAAAAAAAAAATGAAAATTTTTACAATATCTTATAACCAATATGGGTTCCCCTAAAAAAATGCTGTCACCTAATGCATGATTTTAATGTTGGTGAAAAATTTTATGCTGCAATAAGTATTTCAATAAATATGTCAACAAGTGTTTCAAAACATTACAACAAAAGTGTTCCAGCAGGTTTCGCATTTCGTCAAAATCTAAAACTAGTACTGCCACAAATGAACTGCTTGTTGAAGACACAACTGATTTTGATTTTGAGCCTGAAGAAATTATACTTTCTGGAGAAAAAGATGAAGGTGCTACATTTACTGGTAACAATTTATCAGAAGCACTTCGCATCAGCCTTTTTCAACTTCAGATAAAAAATTAAAACAAAATTAATCTCAGCAATAGAATAAAAATTAGCTTACGAAGAAAACTTGAAAGAGCCAAAGTACAGCTCACAAAGAGGTTAGCTGAAGTACTAGATCAGAGTGAAGACTTTATCTCAATTGTTTTAAATAGGTCTTTGGAAGCTTCAGACAATAATATAGAAAATGATCTAAAAATATTGGTTGAAATTTATGAAGAAAGTGACTCTATGGGTAAACATATTGTTTTGTGTTTGATTAAAGATAAAAAAGTTACTAGGAAGTTACTAAATAAAACTTTCAGATGCTTCAAATACAAGATAAAACAGCTACAAAAAATGAAGAAAGCAAACATAGGTATAACTATTTTTGTCGAAAAAAAAGTTACGCAAAATCGACTAGACAAGAAAAAAGCTGAATAATTTCTCGATTTCATAATTAACAGCTGTCTTCATCGAGATATTGCATATGGAGTTACAAAAACTGAATTTGGCTTAAAGGATGTATATAAAATATCTCATGCAGTTTTTTCAGCTTAAATGAGTCATACATGGCATTTTATAATGAAGTTTGCAGAAGTGAGAATTACTCTCCTTATTAGGCAAATACTTCATGGTATTAAACCAACTCAACAAAAATTTTTAGGAGGACTGGATGATATTACTGTTGCAGCTATGAATGGTTTCTCTATGTTGCAAGATTTATCTTTGAAGTGCAAGAAAAGAGTGCTAAGTAATATGTTTTAACGTAGCAAACGATATTAAAAAACTTTACCAGTTTAACTGCAGCGCGACCTACTCTAACTCTCCCACTGCTACTAAATTTCCTACCTACTCTAGATCTCCCACTGCTTAATATTTTCTTTGAGTGATTTAATCGACAAACAATTGCAACAAATGTCAATAGCACCTAATGATAAGATTTGTTATGAGTGTAAAAATTTAAGCAAATCTTTTGTTGAAAGATTAGCATCAAATAATTTATTTGACAAGGACACTATTTATAACTGATTATCATTGGTTATAAAAAACATTTATTGCGTGAATGTCAATAGAAAAAAGCCAATACTTTTTTTTAAAAAATCTTGATGAGGAATCTGGAATTTGATTGAAAGACTGATATCAAAATGTTCTAACATTCATATTCAGGAAAGATCAAAAGAAATATTTTTAAAAAAGGGGATGTCATTTTACGTAGACATTTTCTTCATTAAGAAAAGCAACATTTTACAAAAAAAGGTGTATTTTACAGCTCTTTATAGGTGAAAACAAAGTTTATCGGAAACACTATCAATTGCCCTATTAGTTCTTCCGATGTTTAAGCGTGCCCATTCTGATGTAAATAAACTCTATGCAACATCTGACAATGCTTCATCATACCATGGCAACTTTGTAACATAATATAAAGAAGCTCATTTTATGTTGTGCAAAAACAAACAAATACAGTTTAGCGCTACGATTACAACTAATCTTGTCGTGGTAAAGATTAGTGCGACAGAGAAGCTGCCGGAGCAAAGCCATTGATTTGTAGCTTTGTTGATGCTAGTAACAAGTTGATGTGGCCAGAAAACATTTATGCTGCTTTACATTACAACTACGGATAAAAAATTCTGCTGTTGGTGTTGCCACAATAAAAGGCAAAAACAAGTTGAGTGGAACAAGTATAGCTGAACAAGTATCATTCTTATGAGTTTTTTCAAAGCTATATGACAATGTGGTGGTACTATCCAGTTGGCGATGGAGTTGAACAAGAATATTCTAATGTTAATTTTGACCAGCAAATGTTTTTAACACACCCATATAGTAATACTGACTAGAAAGCGCAAGTTTTCAAAGACAAAAAGATGGAAAAATTTTACAAAGGTAGATCACTAAATTTGTTTCACTTTAGCTCTGAGCCAATTTATTAATATATATTTTATTAATATATATTTTAATATTATTTTATAATTACAAATATTTGTAAAAGTTTTTGTATAACAATTTTTTTTTTCTGTAGATCAAGAAGAACTATCAAATAAAAAAATTGGAAAGAAGTTTATAAGCATTGATATTGATTTATCTTGTGCATGACATAAAAACAACTGGATTGTTGTTATTTTTATAGGCAATTGGTATTCTGGTATTATAAATGAGGTACTTCATTTTTATTCAATTAAAAAGAAAATATTTTTTATTCAAAGAAAATCACTTTTTTAAACATTATTTAATCACATTGATTGAGTCACTAATATTTGAATGAAGTTTATTTTTGTCAAATATGAATTCAATTTTTCAAACTATTCTTCAAATTATAAAAATCATTACTCATATTAGGTTCTCAGTGATGGTTACATAGTGAGCTGTATGAAGTATAGATAAATATTATGAAAAAGCCTAAAAGAAATTTTAAGCAACAATGCATTAAAATCAAAGACATATGGATTAAGATATGTAAAACTGACTTATGACATAAACATTGGCATAGCAAAATAAAGACATAATATAATATTTTGATTTATTCAGCTGCGACATTCTGTTTTTTTTTTTTTTTGTAGTGGAGTTATTTCACTAATGCAATATTATCCCCTAAGTTTTTTTTTGCATTAAACGAATTGTTAGATGTACTATTTTAAAATCTGTATCAAACTTGGGACCTTTTTCTATTTCCATAATGGCTGATATTTGAACGCTAGTTAAAACATTTTTTGATACTTTGATAACTCATGACTTTTTTTGTAAACAATATTCTCTCAGTTTTTTTAGACCATTCAAATAACAGTGACACACTGTTTCCCAAAAGGAGAACACCTTTTAGGTTCCGAGATAAATTTAATTAAAGTAGGCCCCAAATTCAAAAATGTGCAATTTCTGCTTATGATTTGTAGACAGAGAAAGGGTTGACCTCAAATTTTTTGTTTTTTGTTTTAAAGTTCTACCTATACTTCCGTCATGTTAAAAGAAATTTAGGGTTCAGTAACCTCATTGTTTTTATTCTTAGTTTAAAAATTATAAAACTCCTATAATAACTATTGAAGTATTAAAAAGCCAAAAGTTTGACCAACCATAACTCAGAAACTATAAATATTTTGAAAAAAAAAATACAGGTTTCTTTTTCACCCTAACACCATTATATTAATCAGATAATGGCTTCTAATAAGTGTTACAGAAAAATGATGCAGCTCTGACGACACAGCATTAAACGCAAATCTCTACTTCCCACTCTTTAAGATAGTACCTCTTGCACGCAACACAAACATCCAAGGTGGAGGTGTTCTTATATATGTAAACAATAATTTGCAGTCTATTATTAGGCCTAAAATCAGTATTTTTAATTAATGATATCATAAAAAAATTTTCACGAAAAAAATATTATTTGATTGGTGATCTAAACTTAAATTTTTATGACTATTACAAAAATAACAGCATTAAAAATTGTTATAACAATTTGTTTGAAAATGAAGCAATCCTTTAATAAATAAACTTACGAGGGAAACATCAAAATCAGCATTACTAATAGACAATATTAATACAACCGACACCTCAAATAAATTGCTCAAAAAAGCAAATAATAAAAGTAATGCATCTGATCAATTTCATTTTTTTTTCTCTATTAACAGAATTATTGAGTTATTACCTCTATAAAAATAATTAAATATAAAACAATTCATTAATGATAAAACTTTCTCTTATATAAAGAACAAAAATCTCTGATAAAATGGAGTATTATTTGTACTTTTAAACCAAATAAAACTTCTTTTTTTTAATATTTTATAAAAATCAAGATGTAAATTTTCCAAAATGCAAGACTTGTGAAACAAATAAAATTTTTAAATCACCATGAATTTAAAAAGATTCAAGAAAAAACTCAAAAACAATACAAAAACTGTTAATCAAATACCTAATATTAAAATTAATTGAAAATAAAGCACCCTATAAAATTTATGCAAAAGAACTTGAAAAGCAAAGAAATTACCTTTGAAAAAAAAACTACACCAACTTATTTAAAAAACAAAAAAATGATTCTAAAAAAACTTGATTCAAAATGAAACAAAAATGGATTCTAAAAAGATGATGAAAAACAATGAAAAACATGAAACAAAAATTATTCTAAAAAAAACACATTATAAATGAAATCATCAGTAAACGTAAAATAAAAATGTGCTCTCTGTATTGTATAGCAGTATTTCGAGATGCTCTTGAAACAGCTAAAGTTACCCCAGTTTTTAAAGATTAAAAACTTTACATTTTTTTGCCGAACCTACTAAATTCAATAGCTACCGCCCAATTTTAGTTCTTCCTGTTTTTTCAAATATTTTGGAAAGAATTTTGTATAATAAGATATGAATAATCTTGTATCTAATGAAACATGAACGCGTTCATCCTCATCATCAAATTTACAAATTATATCATGCGGAGTTCGACATAGATTGAGATAAGGACCTATGATTCTAATAATTTATTTTGATGATCTCTATAAAGCATCAAATTTAACAACAATTATATTGTCGATGACAAAAAATCTTTTTGACAACATTGTTTAACAAAATGAATAGTGAATCATTAAAATTTCCAACTGGTTTAAGCCCAACAAATTATCAATAAATATCAAAAAAATAAATCCTCTTTTACCCAGCTTCAAAACAAATATATTTTCGAATATACCTTCCATTTATATTGATAATACTGAAATAAAGAGAGCTTAAGTAATCAATTTCTTGGGTGTTTGTTTTGATGAAAATCTAACATGGAAAAATTATGTTAACAATCTAAACAATAAAATTTGTAAAAAGTATACAATTGCTATACAAATCATGAATTTTTTTTACGTTATTATATATTATTTCAAACATATTTCTTATTTATTTATTGCCACATTAATTATGCTAATACTGCATGGGTTACTATAAACAAAAGCATACTAAAACTTCTTTATAGTCAACAGAAGCTTATTTTACGTCTCATCAACTTTAAAGACCGTTT